GTTAGAGTTCTTTGATGGGGTTAACAAACATGCGGACAAGGGGGATCCAGTAGATATAGTATACTTAGATTTTCAGAAAGCCTTTGACAAGGTCCTTCACCAAAGGCTCTTGTGTAAATTACATTGTCATGGGATAAGAGGGAAGGTCTTTTCTTGTATTGAGTACTGGTTAAAAGACCGAAAACCAAGGGTAGGGATAAATGGTAAATTTTCAGAATGGAGAGGGATAACTAGTGGTGTCCCCCAAGGGTCAGTCCTGGGACCAATCCTTTTCAACTTATTCATAAATGATCTGGAGAAAGTGGTAAGCAGTGAGGTGGTAAAGTTTGCGGATTGTACAAAACTGTTTAATGTGGATAAGTGTAAAGTAATGCACATCAGGAAAAATAATTATGTGCTATTAATTATTCTTCTGCACACGGAGTTTGAGTTGCCCAATCAGGGAGCAGAAAAAATATTTGACTTATGTGACCAATCAGACACTGACCATAATGAACAGGAAAAAGGCAAATAGGATGCTAGGAATTATTAGGAAAGGGATAGAAAATAAGACCCAGAATATCTTACTGCCCCTGTATAAAACTATGGTACGCCCACATCTTGAATACTGTGTACAGATGTGGTCTCCTCACCTCAAAAAAGATATTTTGGCCTTGGAAAGGGTTCAGAAAAGGGCAACTAAAATGGTTAGGGATTTGGAACGGGTCCCATATGAGGAGAGGCTAAAGCGACTGGGACTCTTCAGTTTAGAAAAGATGAAACCGACGGGGGATATGATAGAAGTATATAAAATCATGAGTGGTGTGGAGAGGGCGGATAAAGTAAAGTTATTTATTAGTTCCCATAGTAGAAGAACTAGAGGACACCAAATGAAATTAATGGGTAGCAGGTTTAGAACTAATAAAAGAAAGTTCTTCTTCACACAGCGTGTAGTCAACCTGTGGAACTCCTTGCCAGAGGAGGCTGTGAAGGCTAGGACTATAACAGAGTTTAAAGAGAAGCTAGATAATTTCCTGGAGGTTAAGTCCATAAAAGGCTATTAGCCAGGGATAGAATTGGTGTCCCTGGCCTTTGTTTATCAGAGGCTGGAGAGGGATGGTAGGAGACAAATCGCTTGATCATTGTCTTCGGTCCACCCTCTCTGGGGCACCTGGTGCTGGCCACTGTTGGCAGACAGGATACTGGGCTAGATAGACCTTTGGTCTGACCCAGTACGGCCGTTCTTATGTTATTTTATTTCGTTTGGGAAATGGCATGATGAGTCTATCAGCAAAAGCATTCTTGCCTCTATAAGGTTCATCTACACTAGAAGGGTTTATCGGTCTACATTTTCTAATGTAGATTAAGGCCTGATCTGCCCTAGGAATAAAAAAAATCAACATCTATATGAGAGATGTAGTTATGCTGACCTAAACCCTGGTGTAGACAGCATTAGGTCAGTGGGAGAATTGTCCTGGCAATCCAGCTACTGCCTGTCAGGGAGGTGGATTAGCTATGCAAGCAAGAGAAGCCCTCCTGTCAATGTAGGTAGCACCTGCAATCTTACGTGGAGACATGTCTCTAGTTACTGCCTCTCAGAGAACGGGATTACCTATGCCGATAGGAGCGTTTTAAGTGTAGACATACCCTAGTCTTAAAGCTCCAATCCTTTAACTGATAACAGGTGGATGGACTATTTAGCCTGTGAACAGTATGGTTTCATGTGGGTATAGTAGTTCACTCATGTGTTATCTACTGCATAATTAGAGCCCGCAGCTCCAATCCTGCAATCCATACATGAAGAGACCTCCTCGTGGGATTAGGGCCTAAATTAAGACCAAATATAACAAAAGGATGTAATGAACAATCGGAGGGAAAGTACAGGGGAAACACAGATAACAGTGATAAAGTTGGTATAGTTACTAGGTACACTGATTTTTTTTATTAGCCAGTGAGAATCTGTAATCAATATATTATATTTTCATACCTAATTTTTCTTGTGTTCAGAAAATATTGCATTTTTCTTCATTCTGATGCATATAGCATTATGTATGTTGCAAGTCTAGAGTATCAGTTTCTAGATTCCACAAAAAGTTAGTTGAAGCTAACCTTAGTAAATTGCCTAAGAATTTTCACTTTACTGCTTGTTGTTAATTTTTTTCAATATTAATTGTAGCACCCATTTTTTTCATGTTTTGTAAGTGAATGTTTTGTCTGAAGGTTAGAAGAGGCTGACTATGCTGGAAGTGACTGCAGTGCCTTTTGATTATTCATGGACAGTAATAGAAGGCACTTAAAAAGAACAATGAAATTGCTTATTTTTGTGATGGGCCATCTGTTGAATTGTTTTGTGCAACAATCACACAATGGTATCTATGTCATATCATTCTATTTTCTACAGCAGCTGATTATGTGTAGCTGGCTACTTGTCCTTATTTCTAAAGTCCCATGACCATTTAAAGTCACCTCTACTAACCTTTACTAGAAAGGTAATAGAAATGTAAATCAGCTGGTGTGTGTTTTCTTTCTTTATCTTCTGTTTTTCATGTTGGTTCTAATTAATTAGGCCTCTTTGAAATGTTTAGGTCTGTTTTCTGTCTCTCCCACCTGTAGTTTTATAATAGAAGTTAACATGGAATCATTTAGCAATTGGTAAAGAAATGATGGGGTTCTGCAATAAAGAGCAGGCAAGTTTTAAAAGATTGTCATGCGTTCTCTGCTTATTAATTGTCTCTCTTATTCTCGCCCTGCCCAAGCAATAATTAGAATCTTTCTCCCGGATTTTACTAGAAAGCCATTTTTTTCTGACTGTGAAACCATTTGAAGATCTATTATGGCAGAAGTTGAAAGCAAGACAAAAAACTGTGTTGTCTTCCACAGGTCACTGACATTGCTGATGCCATGATTCTGAAACAGCTTTTTGAAAATCTGTTCCAGAATGGGGTAGTCGTTGTGGCAACATCCAATAGGCCACCTGAAGGTAAAAACAAACATGCTATTATTATGATATAAGTACAGTATTTCTTATAAAAGCCATTTTTCATGTATTGAAATGTAATGGTGATAAAATCTCTAGGTTTAAAAAATCTGCGTTATTCTTTCCATGTCCATCTAGTTTTCTCTTGTATAGCAAAGAAAGGGTCCATCCTGGGTCCTGTCCCCTGTTCTCTCTCCTCCAACCCCATTCCCAAAATAATGTTTTTCCCTACTTTTACAGCCTCTGAAGTGATGGTTCTAATCTTTCCTATCTCTACAGTGGTGAGAGAAGCTGAGACAATACCTCAGGATTGATGGGCTTAAAGCGCAAAGCCAGAGCTTAGCCAGTAGAATGGAGGGGGAATGAGGCTAGGTCTACGCTTCAGGGGAAGGTCGAATTAAGATACACAACTTCAGCTACATTAATAACATAGATGAAGTCCATGTACCTTAATTCAAGTTTCCATGTGGTCTCCTCACAAGTGCCAGTGCCAATGGGGGTCGCCTCTGAGTTCAATTGCGGCAGCATCGATCTTCCGCTTAGTGAAGACATGGCCTGAGTAACTGTTTCTTCCCTCTCCATCCTTAGGCAGTGGTCTTATCTTCACTACCATGCTACATTGGTGACGCTGCAGCATGTCTGGTGAAGATGTGCTACATCAATGGGAGAGTGTCTCCCGCTGACATACCATGGTGGAGACACCACTTTAGGTTGGTGTAACTTATGTCACTAACAGGGCTGACCTTCAGGGCTTGTGTGTATCACCACTTATGTCTTCCCCATTATAAGCTCAGGATGTGATTTCCCCTGCTTGTGAACACATACTCTCATTAGCTCTCCTTGAATTAAAACGTGTATAAATAAGGAAGCTGCAGTAGCACAGGTAGCCTCAGCAGATGGATGGCTGAGCTGTGCCAAATACAGACCTGCCTGAAACTGGTTTGTATATACAGCCTCTCCCCCAGTAACGAACGAATTATGGACCAAACTATTTGCCGTAACTTGATTTGTTCGTAACTCTGACCCCATTGAGTTACATAGAGACCGTGCTGTTCGTAAGCGCGGGTCATGTTCATAACTGGGGGACCGCCTTTACGACCGCTCCATGGTAGCTTTGGTCATAAATGCGAATGGTCGTAACTCGACCGTTCGCAACTCGAGGACTGGCTGTACTTGATATGGCTCAGCCATGCCTCCAGTGCTGCTACCCATGCTGTCTTGGCTACCCTGTTATTTATGCTTGTGCTAGCTCAGTGAACTGGTGACTAACACCACAAGCATATAATTTACATGCCGCCCTAGTGCCATGGAATTTACACTGCTTTTTTTTCTAGTCCACCAATTGACGTGATCCACTAAGAAGCTCTGTCTACAACTGCTTTGACATCAGACAAAAGCACTTGCAAATCATTGATATATAATTTAAAAAAAAAAAGTCTTCACAATATTATTAAACAAATTTCATGGAGCCCTTAACTCTACAAAGCTTTAGACTAGGGCTACTCAATTTTGGAAGCCCCGGGGGCCACAATGATACTCACAGCACATGCCAAGGGCCACAACTTAAGTGTGGTTGCATATACATACAAATATATATGCAAATAGCTTCTTTCACACTGACGGGCATGAATACAAAGATTAAGGCAAGACTACACAGCATGCAGGCCCCATTTAAATCAGTTCTGCTGATATTAATAAAATGCAGTATTTACCCGATTTCCACCCATATGACAGCACTTTCAATGAGCAATGACAGTCCAGGAATTTAACTACTAAACCGCATATCAACAGAAGACCATTATATTGACTCACCATTGTGGAGCATGTTCTCAGTGGAGGCCATGTTCAAAGGATCCCACCTTCAGGCTGCATGTTGAGCCACATAAACCCAAACCGCACCACAGGCCACAAACAAACAGGCTACGGGCCGCATGTTGAGTAGCCCTGATTTAGACAAAGAGGGCTCTATAAACTAATCTTAAAATTGTTGGTAGCCAAATCATACTTCTAAGAGATAATGCAATAGTGTTAATAGCATAAAATTTTTATTCTTTGTATCAGGGGTTCCCAAACTTTTTGACACGGGGACCAGTAAATCCATTCACGAGCTTTTGGAGGACTGGTAACATTCATTTGCATATTTGCATATTCATGAAGCAAATTATGAATATTCCGATAAGTTGTTTCTGGTCCTCCCAAAGCCCGCAGTGCCAGCGTTAGTAGAACTTTTGATACAGTCACCCACAATATTCTTGCCAGTAAGTTAAGGGAATAGGGATTGGATAAATGGACAGTAAGATGGATAGAAAGCTGGCTAGATCAGGGTTTCCCAAACTTTTTACTTTAGTTGGAACCCGTCTTTTTTTCAGTACAGTTTTTTGCAGCCTCAAAATATAAACACATATAAAAAAAATTAAAAATGAATACATTTTCAGTGTTTCACCCGGCTGCATCCTCCGCCTAGCCTTTGCCAGGGTTTGGGGGACCCGGCGCCGCATGGGCACTCTAGGAGGTGGGAGCAGGAGCAGATTGGGGGTAGGGTATCTGGCTAGGAGGAAGGATTCAAGGAGGGGTAAGGTTGCCAGGTGTCCAGTTTTGTACTGTCCGGTATTTCAGGGTTTTCTCTGGGAAACAAATTGAGAAAATACTGGGCATATAAAATGTCTGGTACTTTCTAATTAGGTACGTTTTATTATTATTAGGTGTATCCGTCCGTAGCTGCGAGCTGCCTGGCTGGTAGATGTGCTCATGCTGCGTGAGTGTGTTTACCAGCCAGGCAGTTCGTAACTACTTGAGGGAACGTATGGGGGAGGGGGAGCAAAATGGAATCCCTGGGGCAGGACTCACTCGTCTGCCTGGGTCAGTCCCGCTTCCCGCCGGATAGCCCCGCTGCTCCCAACCCTGCTTCCCAGCGGCCGGTTCCTCCATACACATACCTCCTCCCAGCCCACCCCGCCCTGCTCCCCTCCCGGCAGCCACGCTGAGGCCTGATATTTTTTTACTGCGGCCCGGTATCAGGCCCCAGGCCATAGTTTGGAAAATGCTGCTTTATATGAAGTGTTATACAAGAACCAAAGGCTTTCAAATTATATTGATTTTCCTTGCTTAGAAGAGAATCACTTAAGCTTTAAAATACAGAATTTTTTTCCATTTGAAGAGTCCTAACTAGGGGGAAATGTTTAAATGTTATGGCTTTCAACCTTCAGTTATTATTGTAGTTTTAGTCTTGTTTTGAGTAATTCTAACTAAGCCAAAGATATGACACAACTAAGTAAAAGAAAAAAAGGCAAATTGGATTGTTGCTTAGTACGATTAGCAGCCATCTCTAAAAGGATAGCTTCAAAACCTCTGTTACACTGAGGGAAGCTTGTACCTAAATTTGCATCTGATTATTATTAATTAAGCCTCAGTGGAAGTTGCAGATACCACCAAACCTCACCTATCATAGGTGTTTGCTGACCCAAGAATGCCGCAGTAAATAAAAACGTTGCTCACTTTAAAAGGGCCAAACCATATATTGTAAAAGTTTTTATCCCAACCCCAAGAAGGAAAGAAGATAGAAAAGTACCCCACAAACACTAGGTTACACAAAATACAATAATTACACAGTCCAGTAGTTGACAGTGGGTGAGAAGCTTCTGTCTCTCAAACCTTTGGCTAATTGAAAGCCTCTGGTGAAAGACAAGGAGGAGATCCCTCGCAGTGGTGACCCTCTGCGGTGCTCTCGACCTCAAGCCTTAGGCTCCTTCCGAGCCCTTAGCGAGGAACAGAGAGGCGATCCCTCAGAGACCCTGGGGACGGGTATGGTGCAGGCAGGTAGTGATGATCCTCGTCTGGGGCCTTCCGCTACTAGATGCAGGAATCACTGGTGGAGACTTGCCTGGCGCTGATCTTCAGGTGGCTTCTGCTCTTTAGCAGGAACCGATGATAGACAGCTACCTATCTCTAATACCTGGAAACAAAACCTGACTAGCTAGACTTGACGCTTCTGTTATGGACAAGTACTGGTGCAGTGAACCGACGCACTTGGACACAAAACATGACTAGCTAGACTTGATGCTCCCGTCACGGACAAGTACCCAGCCGCTGGTGCAGTGAACCGACGCACTAATCCTAACGGACACACTCGATGACGAAATCTAACTAACCCTAACTAACTATAGACTAACATAAACAGACAGGAGACAAGCAGGGACAAAGGTGGCGCGAACGAACGCAGACAACTGCTAGCCAGGCCTTCAAAGCACCCTTCTCATAAATATTCATGATCTTTATCTTTAAAATCATTGGACCCTGTACAGGAAAACAAGGGTCCCTGATTGGGTGCTTTGATAAACAAGTTGTAACAGCCTGGATCAGTGTGCTGCATGCAGCAGCACAGTGTGACACGTGCAGCTACTTGCGTGCCATGTGCAACACTCCTAGAAACTTCTAACTGAATATGAATACAGCTAATACATATTCATAACTAAACATACATATTAATGATTGCTTATAAATATTAATGAGGTGTCAAGAATGAGCAGGCTACACCTCCAAAGTTAATAGGTGCTTGTAGGTCAAGAGTTGGGCTTGGGCCTACCTGTGTACTTCAAAATGTTAGTCTGTGAACAATTTGCTAAATACTGGTGTCCACCATTCATGGTGTATGTTGCTCCAATGGGGTATAGGAACCATAGAGGGGCTGCAGTGGCCCAAGAGAGAATTCACTTAACCAGATGCAGTGAGTAACTGTGGATAGTGGAAGCGGGGCACAACTGAAAGTTTTCTGGAGGCATATGTCCACCCCACATATTGCCTCTGTCTCCATCCCCTGAAACTTGATAAGCGTGTAGACAACATACAGCTATCTCTTTCTCCGTCTTGTGGTTGCCCTGCCCTTTGCAGAGCTTGTAGGCATCCTTCCCTGCCTCAGTCAATTTAGCAAGTGTTTAAAACAAGACCAACAAAAGGGGCAACAAAGTTAGGATCCACAGTCCCCCATACACCATCAGGGCAGGTGTTGCTAGGGTGGGAATGTGCTTGTGGCTAGATTGACTCAGTTAACAAGAAGAAGAAGACTTATCAGTCACTTTTTTGGGGGTGGGGTGGGGCGAGGGATTATGACACCTCTAAATCACCTTCTTCTTGATAGGCACATTGAATACTGCTGTTGTTTGAATATCCCCCGCTGCTGGGTCTGTACTGAAGCAGTAACAGGGTCTGCTCCCCCTTTTCCATCTCCCCCAAGCCTGCCCCCTTCAATTCTGGGTCTTTCTGGCTGGATTGGGCTACATCTCAGCTGCCTGTTGCTGACACCACATCACAGCTCCTCCTCCTCTTGATCTCAAAAATGACCCCAACTTCCTCAAAGGTGGTCTGCCGAGGCAATGAGAAACCCTGGGACTCCAGTAGCAGAGGAGAAGCACCCCTCCAGCTCACACCACAACCCCTTGCCCATATCGGTGTCCCCTGCCACACTCCAACCCCCCCCCAACCCACACCCTTGCCTAGAGCTCCTTCCTGCCCCTTAAACCCTTCATCCCCTGGACCCATCCCAGAGGCTGCACCCTGAGCTAGAACCTATCCTCCTCTTGCACCCAGTGAAAATGAGCGAGTGAGCAAGGGGCCAGAGGAGAGAGTGATGGATGTATGTGGAGTGAGCAGAGGTGAAGCCTCAGGAGAGGGGCAGGGCAAGGGTGTTTGATTTTCTGCAGTTAGAAAGTTGTCAACCCTAGTATCCAAGCTCAGGACAAACTTTAGGATTTTTTCCTCTCTATTTCTGGACACAGAGGCAAGATAACAATATAGTTAGAGGGAACACTGTGTCCTGATGGCCAAGACATTGGTGCCACACTTAGGGTATGTCTACACTAGCTCGTTAGTTCGAGCTAGGTAGGCAAATGAGGGCAACCGGAGTTGCAAACGAAGCCCGGGATTTAAATAGTCACGGGCTTCATCGCGGGCTTTAAATCCCGGGCTTCATTTGCAACTCCGGTTGCCCTTATTTGCCAACCTAGCTTGAACTAACGAGCTAGTGTAGACATACCCTAAGTGTGGCACCAATGTCTTGGCCATCAGGACACAGTGTTCCCTCTAACTATATTGTTATCTTGCCTCTGTGTCCAGAAATAGAGAGGAAAAAATCCTAAAGTTTGTCCTGAGCTTGGATACTAGGGTTGACAACTTTCTAACTGCAGAAAATCAAACACCCTTGCCCTGCCCCTCTCCTGAGGCTTCACCTCTGCTCACTCCACATACATCCATCACTCTCTCCTCTGGCCCCTTGCTCACTCGCTCATTTTCACTGGGTGCAAGAGGAGGATAGGTTCTAGCTCAGGGTGCAGCCTCTGGGATGGGTCCAGGGGATGAAGGGTTTAAGGGGCAGGAAGGAGCTCTAGGCAAGGGTGTGGGTTGGGGGGGGGTTGGAGTGTGGCAGGGGACACCGATATGGGCAAGGGGTTGTGGTGTGAGCTGGAGGGGTGCTTCTCCTCTGCTACTGGAGTCCCAGGGTTTCTCATTGCCTCGGCAGACCACCTGTTATATTTGCTTCTTTCCCACTGGAACATTAGAGTGAAATGTCAAGATGTAACCTCTGGAATCCCAACTTCACTTCTGTGCCAAAACCCATTTATCACATTTTCCTTGTTCTTCCCAAATGGAAAAATAAAGTAGTAAAATAAGGTCCATAGACTTTTTCTTAATTAATAGATGAGTTAATATAAATAACTGTCATTTATATTGTAAAAATTATTGTAATGCTCACTGTTTCTACCTGGTAAACTTTCATTCTTTTAAATGTATTGCTTACTATACAAATTGAGTTGTTCCTTAATTGTTAGAGATTGGTGTGAAAAGTGGTGCATGACTTTGTACAACTTTGTTCGTAATTAGATTTAAGAATCTGATTCACTTGTATCCAGATTTCTTATATGTATTGTCGTAGGGCACGTCTATACTTACCAGAAGATTGACGCTCTGGAGGTTGATCTTCTAGTATTCAAATTAGTGGGTCTAGTATAGACCTATAAATCGAACACAGAGAATAGTTCCCGTCGGCGTCCAATACTCCTCCTTTTGTGAGGAGTAGCTGGAGTTTTGTACCTTAAGCCAGTCTTCCAGATCCAGTGTAGACCCGATCTTAATGTTCCTGTGAATCATTTTGTCAGTACTGTCTTGATTTGTCAAGCATAGTGCATCATCCCTCCACTGTTATATGTTCATACAGCATCTAGTATAATGACACCCAGACTGATTATGGAGTTCAGGCATTGCTGCACTCTAACTATTTTATGTAGGCTTTGCAGAATTCAAATGTTTGGATTTTGGTTATTTTTTAATAATTCTAACGGATAGTATTGGCATTAAAGCATTTTTTCAAGTGTTATTAAATTAAATGTTCACAGTTGCAGGAAATTATGGGACAGTTTGCAATGAGATGGGGGAGTCAGACAATAATTATTTAATTACAGTAATAATCCTTAAATGTTAAAGCTTCATAACCATTAAAACACAGATTGTCAACATCTCATGTAAAATATACAAAGTAAATACCTTAAATGAGATTATAGTAAGTTCTAAAACAGCATTTGTCTTACTCTAAGATTTTTATAGGTTTATTTTTCATTGGTTTGCCTGTGTACATGGGGAAAATCACCATTTACCAACATTTAGTGATAAAAATTTAATCCTTGTATTATAATAATTTGGCATGGTCTGTATCAAAGGTAGGGGAGTTTAGGTGGACAGTTGTAACAGGGTGTCTGCACTTTCTGTTGACCTGCTCTGTTACATCCTGGCAACCAGACAGACACTTGTATTAATGAAGTAGAGTAGCACATCATAACTATTGTATGATTATAAAACTAATGGAACTATTCATCCTGTCTGTACAGTTACATAGTTGCCAGAAAAGGGAACTTTTTACTATAGATATAAAATTCTGTTTGACAAGTTACATTTATTAATCTACAATTTCTTTCATAATTCCCAAATATTCATTTACTTATAACTATTTTAATAAATTATCTTTTTCAAAGGTTATGCATTTATTTTTAATATTTTATTGTGTGCCTACATAATAAATAATATTTTCTTACCTTGAAAAAATACTGTGTGTGATGGGAATTACTAGAAGACCAAGCGTGTAACCCTAATCAACATTTCCAATTCTTTTATGAGCTTATTTTTAATATAAAGGTTTCATATTTCCACTGCTAAAATCACTTAGTTCTCATTAGAGATTTAAATCTAATGTCACTGAATCCCTTTTGAGATTTTCTTGGGCTGTTCTGCTTTTATTTCCTTATTAGGAATGTAAAGAATTTCATGCAGGAAAAGAATAGAAATCAATTTCAATTCCCTTTCATTCCTTTATCCCTCTAACAGCATAGTGCTTTATTTGCCAGATTAAAAGACAAGCTGGCATTATTATTAAGGGGAAAGGCTAAGTAGCAAAACTAGTACCAGTTTTCTCTTTCAGACCTCTATAAAAATGGGCTTCAGAGAGCTAACTTTGTACCATTCATCGCTGTGTTGAAGGTAAGGAAAGTCACTTGTTGAATGCTTTCTTTCTTTGCCTGTCATATTGAAAATCAAGGGTTTGTACAGGATTGCTTCAATCTTACTTTCAGGAAAAATGTTTTAATTATTATGGGGTTGAAGCAAAGTGAAATAGAGGTGGGAACAACTTTTCATGTAAAAGATTAATATTGACGTTTAATGGAAAAAGCTGAACATATAACAGGACAAAATGTTAACTTCAATAAGTAATGCAGCAGACAATATTTGGACAGAATTTTATTACTGCTCTGTATGTATGCAAATGGAGATATCTTTCTGTAACTATTATACAAATGTCGATGCAATATTTTTTTTACTTTTTCAATTTATCATGCTACCTTACTTCTCCTAAGACAGAAAAACACTTTTTAGTGGCATTTTCTGTAAAAATGTTATTTTAAAATAGGATCACTCCATCAGTGTGGTTTTGCAACTGAAAAGCTACACTACGTGAAGAAATAGTTACTCCAATATTTTCAGTTATCCAGTAAGAAATTTGTTCAAGTTATCACATTGTCTACTTTTGCTTTTCATTAAATCTCTCTCTTCTGTTCCCATGTACATGCTTCTTTCTTTCCTTATCTTGTCCTTTCCTCTTCCTCCCCCTGTATGCTTTCTTTATGACTTAATCAAGCTGATCAGAGAGAAGAGGAACCTACTACTAATCTGCTTCATTGTTTCCTCCTTGCTCTTGGACATTTTTATTATGTTTATGGCTAGTATATAGCTGGATTCAAACCCTTATTTCCAACCTTTCCTTTATTGTGATGTCCATGGACACCTAGGCTATGTCTACACTGCGGAGCTATTTCAGGATACTGGATATTCCACATCTATTGAAGCAGCCCATTCTTTCAAAATAGATTTCAAAATAATGAGCAGCTTATTGCGATTTCCCACTATAATTACTGTATCTCATTTTTTGTCACTCAGAAAAATAATTGTTTTTTGGGAATTCCACTGTTGCTCACTCTTTCAACATTCAAGTGCATCTTACTCTGTAAGCAAATTTTCCCCTATGTACGTGGCTTTCTGAGTGGAAATTGCCACGGCTACAGTACTACATGGTAAGTTCTCTGACATCTGCACACTTTGGTGTGACATACTAGAAATTCTGCAATACCTTCATTTAAATTCAAAATGGAGGTTTGCATTGAGTTAAATATGAATGATGCAGACAGTTGTGTAACCACTGGAGTTGGTTTGTTTTGATAAAAAATAAAATGCAGTATCGACTCTTTTACGTTTAGTAGGCACAGTGTTTTGAATTCACAAAAAGTAACTGTATTGTAGAAGTTGACGGAATGGAAGCTGGAGTTTTTGGCATCAGGGTGGACTCTAAGCACCGCGTGTCCCTTGCAGGGTGGAGACCGGGAGTCAGAGACTTCTTGTGTTATGGGGAGAAGCGTATGTCTCGTCCCACCCTGCAAAGTGTGTGCAGTGCTTAGAATCAGGTGCCACCTGAACAGCTGGAGGTTGACTCTAAACGCAGGGCATCCCTTGCAGGAGAGCAGCAAGGGTGGGAGGAGACTTTGTATGCCACTCCTGCCCCCAGAGCATGCAAAGTCTCCCCCCCACTGCCTGGGGCACAGGCACCTAGAGGAAACTGTCAGCTGTTCAGAACAGCTGGCTGTTCTCTCTGGACAGGTAGGGGCAAAGAATTCCCCCATTCCCCCACCACCAGGCCAATCAGGGTCTGTGAGTGGGGATGCATAGAAGTGTCCTGGTCCCACTACTTCCGGGGAGGCCCAGGGCCACTTTAAAAATTTCCAAAGTGGTTCCCCCGGCTAAAATTATTGTCCACCACTGGGCTAGATTGACCCAACTATAGTGTTCAGTGTATGAAAATTTGTATAGCCCTGAGTGATATATCTAGGTCAATCTAAGTTTTGGCTTGAGATTTTCAAACACAATTCTGCAGTAGCATATATTCTGCAGCAAATTCTGTGGTTCTAGAACATGCAAACCCCTAATTCTTAGGAGTAATTACATATTAATTTCCAACACTGTGTCCTGCGTGCATCACTAGAACCTTTTCTTCATCTTGCCATTGATCGATCTTTTCTTCTTGGCCTTTTTTCATTCCTCCTTAGGATTTTTTTTGTTAGTGTAATTGCTGGGTTTATGGATTCTTTTGCTTACATACTTATTTGTGGTCTTAATTCTTTCTTCTAGTTAACAAAAATATTAATGACTGCATGCCTTTAAACCAGATCACCTACCTTTACTTTGTAAAGGTATCTCAAGATTTTAGGCAGGACCTTACATATGGAATATTGAGAGATACCATCTTTCTCCTGTGATTAGTTATTAGGGTAATCTTTGTGTTTTCCTTCTCTTGTGTTCTTGGCATGTTTCACATACTTTGTTTTCAAATATTCCTGTAACTGATATTAGTTTAGTAAAAGTTACTTGTAACTAAATTGGGTCCCTCTCAAAACATTTAAAGAAAATCTTAAGCGTTTTCTAAGGGAATGTAGTTCTGTCCTCAGTAACAGACACTGAACAATGGTGGCAATGTATATAAACAAGTATTCATTACGGACTAACATGGATACCCCTCTGAGAATGTACATAAAGTAGAGAATGATATTAAAAACTTACATTTTTAATATGGCACTTGTGGGGAGCAGAGCAGTCATTTTATTTCATTGAAAAAAATTAAAAATAAAACATAAAAAGTTGTTTTAAGTGGTAGAATGCAGGTTAGAAGGTGTGGAAATAACAAAAACTAATTTTTCAGTTGTGATAGGGATACATTTACCCTGACAAATGAGTCCTCCCAAAAGTATGACACTTGTATGTGAACTATATCATTGCATTACCTACCTTGTCTCATTTCAAATTGTTAATGCATCTTATAATCACCATTTCACAATTATGCTATGTAAGCTTTTTAAAAAAACACACACAAACAAATTAAACTAAAGGTCTTCCTTGAAATTTTCCATGACAATCTAACCTCAGGAGAAAATGTTAAATTAGTTGCTTATGAATGTCTTCATCCTGATGCTTTCTTCAACAGAGTTCAGACTGTGAGTTAGTTCTTCTTCACCCTCCTAGGGGTTTTATGGACTATTAAAAACAATTAAATATAAGTAATCAACCCCAACTGTATCTAGGATTTCTCTGTAGGGTGCTTTCTGTCCTCAGTTCCCCTTACACACATATAGGCTACGTCTACACTGACAGCTTCTTGCGCAAGAACTGTTTTGCGGAAGACTTCTTGCGCAAAAAGTCTTCCACAAGAGCTCATCTACATTGGCATGTGCTTTTGTGCAAGAGCATCCATGGCAGTGTGGACGCTCTCTTGCACAAGAAAGCTCTGATGGCCATTTTAACCATAGGGGCTTCTTGTGCAAGAAATTCATGTTGCCTGTCTACACTGCCCTCTTGTGGAAGAGCTCTTGTGCAAGAGGGCTTATTCCTCGTGGGGAGAAGAATAACTCTTCTGGACGAAGCTCTGTTTTACAACGCTATACTGTAAATTTACTTGTGCAAGAATGTGCATGCAGTGTAGACAGCAGGCAAGAACAGCTGTTCTTGCGCAAGAAGCTGCCAGTGTAGACATAGCCACAGTGTCTCCTAGTTTTTATATCTTGCTTGAAGTTAATTGGATTTATCTGTCACCATAACTCAGCAGTAATTACCCTGAACCATGATGATGTATGTTTTAGCACCTGAATCCAGAATGACTCAACAGAAGAGGCTTTAATTTCCTATACCAGCTCTTAGGGAATGCCCTTTAGAGGGAGAAAAAGTACCATGGCAAAGTTCTGAAAAGAGCTACTTCTCTCCCAACAGTGTCAATTTCAAACTGCTGGCTTTAAACCTCAGTATGTCCAAGAGGGGCCTGAGATTGCTGGGAAGGAGAAAGCACATTTTGAGTAATTAAAAGGAACTAGTTTCTTACCCTTTGAGGGTATCTGCCTCCTACTTATCAATGTGGTGGATAATTTAGGAGTTATAATGCACAAGACATACTGATAGTAGTAGTGGCCAGAAACATCTTGTCCCAACTTTGGCTCTTTAAAAATATAAGCAAAAAGCAAATTACTCTTCCTTTTCAGATGAAGACTTAACCCACATTCATCCTTTCTTTCATTGTCTCCAGATTGCAATTCCTTTTTTTTTCATTCCTGAATCAGTTCTTGTGGTGTGAGCAAGAAGGCAAATCAGTTCAACATTAGTGATGCAGATTAGCTGAACACAAGGGACGCAGGGATGGGTCAGAGGAAAGTTTTTTTTTAAATATTCACAAGGTTTATACCATTGGCATTTTGTTTATATGCTTGTCTACCTTGCCTTTTTATATTATAAACCCTTTAGGGCAGGGATTGCATCTTCCATTGTGTTAATGCAGACATAACATAATAGGGACATGATCCTGATTAGGGTCTTTGGAAGCTACTGCAATAAAAATAATAAATAATATTGAGGTTTGATTACAAAGGCCACATACAATTTCCAGTTAGCTCAGTTTATGTGGGCTTGCTTCCCAAGTGGGACTGACCAATGAGATCACACTATGGCAGTTCTTCATGGAACGTGTTTGGCTCCTTATCCAGTTCGAGGTCTTCTCTGAAGTCCTTGTTGAATTCTTTAGCGCTGTCAGTAAATTTTCTCGGAAAGTCTGCAGTGTAGAGTATTCATTATAAAAGAGCTTGGTTTTCTCCCATTGAGGATCAAGTTCAAACCAAATCTTCATGCTTTTAGAGTTTAATGTAAAACACAATTCTCTGAGCAACCCAAAGATGGCCTCGGAAAAGCTCAGCAACAAGAAATGTTAGTCTTACTTTAAAATGTGATGTACAGAGGGAAGGCGTGGGGTATCATGTGTGGACAGAATTTCTTGTCTTAATTATGTGTTTGCCCTGTTATTGTTAGAAATAAAAACACTAGAAATAGATGTCAGTGTTACTTAAATTGAAGTATCTATTTTCAGGACAGATTTTTACACAGTCAAAAAATGAAACAAA